GCCAGACTTATTGGCTGCATCGATATGGGACCCATGAAGCTACTGGCCCTTACTCTTCAGGTCTGGAATCGAGCTCACCACTGTGGTAGAATAATCAACCACTTAAGAGTAAAAGGGCAGCATTTACCATGGGCAAAATTCAGAGGGTTGGGAAAGAAAAACAAATCTTCTCCTGGACATTGAGAAAATTCTGGCCACAGGACAGCACAGAAATAACTTCGTGGATTTCCAAGGTTGTAAATTTTATGAGAATAGAAAGTGTCATCTTTCTCCCAGTGAGCACCTGGTGGTTTTGAACTGCTGACCTTGTGATTAGCAGACCGATAGAGAACTCACTAACTCACAGGAAACACAAGCAGAAGTGGTGTAAGTGGTGGTACAGGGAGGAGATTGCAATGATGAGCTGACACAAAACAGGTATGAATAGTTGGATGTAAAAATTGTTTGTTCTGTAAACCTTCACCTAGTCCATGAAAAACAATTTTTAATTTTTAAATATTAAAAAAAACTCTCTTCTGGTGGGACCAGACTACAACCTGGTGCTCCGAGATGTGAATGCAATGAACTGGCATGAAGCATAGAATCAGTAGAGAGGTCTGAGGGGCTGGCCCCAATCCCAGCTACATGGACAGCCACCCCTCGCCCCAGAAGAAATTATTTCAGAGGACAGCACGAAAGCTGTAGCTCAGGGAGAGGGACATGTCTGATCAGAGCACACAGGAGAAATGAAGAGAGAAGAAGAGAGAGTGGAGCACATCCTGGCTAACCAATCCTTGAGGATGATATCCCTGCTCAGAGCAGTCAATGCACAGAGAGGACCATGTGGCCAGCCTCTCTACGAGCGAGACACGACATCCCTCACTGACCCATAGCCCTACAGGGAACAACACTGGAGACAAGTGTGGGAATTGTGCCCGATTAGACCCCACCACACAGAGGCAAAACACTAAGGGCGTGCAACAACACAGCAAGGGTAGCAGAGCAAGGAAGTCCCGAGGGAATACCAAAAATAGACTTTGGAGTCAGGGCATGGCACTCCATCAGATTAAACTGGAAAACACTCCTAAATGTCAACAAACAGACCTTGAATTATTTACAGGCTTTTCTTTTTCTTTTCTTTTTTTGTTGTTGTATTGCTTTCTTTTGTGACTTTGTTTTGCTCTGTCTTGTTTCTGTGCATATTATTAACACTGCAGGTCTATCTAGATAAGATAGGAGGGATAAACAATCTGGAGGAGAAAACAATGGGACCTATTGTTCGGGGGGGACATGGGAGATGGGAGGTGGAGAAAGGAAGTGGTGTTAACAAACCCAGAGACAAGGGAACAACAAGTGATCCAAAATCAGTGGTGAGGAGGGTGTAGGAAGCCTGGTAGGGCTCGATCAAGGGCAATGTAACTGAGAGGAATTACTGAAACCCAAATGAAGGCTGAACATGATAGTGGGACAAGAGGAAAATAAAAGGAAATAGAGGAAAGAATAGGGAGACATGTAAATATATTTATATATGAGGACGGGGAGATACAAATCTATGTGCATATATTTATAGGTTTGGTATTAAGGCAGCAGATGGGCATTGGGCCTATACTCAACTATTCCCTCAATGCAAGAACATTTTATTCTATTAAACTGGCATTCCATGATGCTCACCTCCCCGACACGATCGCTGAAGACAAAACAGGTGCATAAGCAAATGTGTTGAAGAAAGCTGATGGTGCCCGGTTATCAAAAGATATAGCATCTGGGATCTTAAAGGCTTGAAGGTAAACAAGCAGCCATCTAGCTCAGAAGCAACAAAGCCCACATGGAAGAATCACACCAGCCTGTGTGATCATGAGGTGTTGATGGGATCAAGTAACAGGTATCAAAGAACAAATAATCATATCATTGTGAATGAGGGGGAGTACATAGTGGGGACCCAAAGCCCATCTGTAGGCAATTGGACAGACCCTTACCGAAGGGTTGTGGGGAGGAGACGAGCCAGTCAGAGTGCAGTGTAGCAAGGATAAAACATACAAATTTCCTCTAGTTCCTAAATGCCTCCCCCACCCCCACCCCCAATATCATGATCCCAATTCTACCTTACAAATCTGGCTTGACCAGAGGATGTACACTGGTATAGATAGGAACTGGAAACACAGGGAATCCATGACATATGAACCCCTCAAGACCAGTGGTGAGAGTGGCAATACTGGGAGGGTGGAGGGAAGATGGGGTAGAAAGGGAGAACCGATTACAAAGATCTACACATAACACCCTCCCTGGGGGACAGACAACAGAAAAGTGGGTGAAAGGAGACATTGGACAGTGTAAGACATTACAAAATAATAATAATTTATAAATTATCAAGGGTTCATGAGGGAGGGAAGGGTGGGAAATGGAAGGGAAAAATGAGGAGCTGATACCAAGGGCTCAAATAGAAAGAAAATGTTTTGAAAATGATGATGGTAACAAATGTACAAATGTGCTTGACACAATGGATGGATGGATGGAGATAAGAGTTGTATGAGCCCCCGATAAAATTATTTTAAAATAACACCTCTTCTTAAAAAAAAAAAGAAGCTATTCATATGAAACCAAATTGACAATAGCAACTTAGAGGGCAGTGAATTTATGTTAATGAGGGAGGAACAATTTAGAAAAGGAAGATGTGAAAGATTTTATGACTCAAAAATGTAATGTTACTAAACTTCACATTGAATTGTTGTATGTTCTCAACAACAATAAAAATCCATTTTTCAATCACACGATTGAAACAATCTTTCTAACAGGCTTCCTTTCCTGTCACATGGCCTTGCCTCACCCTTTTGCCAATGCTCTGCAAAACTAAGCTTTCACAAATGGGAATCTGATGATTTTTTCTTTAATAAGCTTTATTTTCTGCCCTATCCCTCTCTCTCCAACCTTAAACTTTTCCCTATTTTTTTCATTGATGATATTTATACTTCTAGGGTATATATTTATATTTTAATCCACCTTTTATTCATTTTTGGAAAAAAAAATTCATTTTTGTATGTGGTGTGAGGTATGGGTCCTGTTTCATTCTGCAGATGGGCATTCTATTTTGCCAGCATCACTTGTTGAAGAGATTATTTATCCCCCATTCAATGTGTTTCTGCCTTTATAGAAAACCAGTTGGCTGTGGGTGCACAGTTTTATTTCTAGGTTCTCTGCTTTGTTCTATTGGTCAATGTGTCTACTGATGTTCCAATACTGTTTGGAATATTTGTCTCTGTAATAGGTTTTTAAATTAGGAAGTGAGTGGTCTCCTAATTTCTTCTTCTTTCTTTTTTTAATGGTGCTTTGCTTATCTGGGTTTTATTTTTTCCATATAATGTTGATGAGTAGTTATTCCAACTTCTTAAAGAACGACGCTGGGATCTGGATTGGATTGCGTTATACTGAGAGATTGCAGTAGATATGTGCACGTCTAATCATGTGACTCCATGCTGAAACCCTTAAAGTGCTCCCTGTCACCCACAGAATGATGGGTAAACTTCGAAGCACAGCCTGCCTGCTCTCCAACGACTGATCATCCTGATCCTTAGCTATGTCTTCCTTTCAAAAACATTTTTCTCACTTGTTGACTGAATCATTTAGATTAGAATTTCCACAAAAGTACCATCAGATGTATTCTTTGACATCTTCAGTTACTCTGTTCTGTCTATCTAGAAAGGAGCCCTGGTGGCACTGTTGGCTAAGTGTTGACCTGCTACCTACAAGGCTAGTGGCTCAAACCCACCCGGTTCTCCATGGGAGAAAGATGAGACTATCTGTAAAAACGTAAAGCGTCAAACGCCCTAAATAGGATCACTGAGAGGTGAAATTGACTAGCTGACAGTGGATAGATACTTCTAAAAGGTCTTTGCTTCTTGTGTTCCTTACCCTACTTTTCCTCCAATACTTTTCCCACTACTTCTGCCCCACTCAACTCTCCAGTCAGTTATCAAATGCCGAGTCTTCTTTCAAGACGTGGTTCATGTGCTACATCAGTGAATCCATTCTTGACTCTTCCCATTAGCAATGGCCTCTTCTTTCTATGTATTTGGCTTCCCACTGCCTCTTAAGACTTCCATCCTGTCACCCATAAGTCTCTCATTTAGCTGGAGAGCGTGTCATTCCTATCTGCAGCCCTAAGACTGGGTAAAATGCTTGCACAAAGCAAGCATTCAATAAATGTTTGTGAGTTGATGTATCATCTGATGCCACTGTAGTATCAAAGGCAAGCAGCAGAAGGTTTTCCATCTGCTCAAAATTTTACCTTTAACCAGCAGCACCCCAGGAGAAGGGTACACTGAAGTAAGCCACAACATGAAAAGGTAACCAATGTTTTTAACCAGAAAATGATATAGAAGAACTCTAGGCTTCAGTTTAAGAATATTTTAGGGTGTTTTTTTTCATTTGCATATATTGAGGACATATATAGGCTTGGTTCTAATTAACATTTGGAGGGGAAAACAGAGCAAAATAAGTAATCCTCAGTTCTTGTCCTGCAGGAATTCACAGTCTCAAAGACTTCTCTCTCTCTCTCTCTCTCTCTCTCACACACACACACACACACACACACAGATATGAAGTGCCATGAGGCCTGAAGGCAGTAAGACATTCGTTCGTATTGGGAGGACAGAAGTGTTCCTGAAGGAGAACAGAATGTAATCAGAGCTGTGAGGAAGGGTGGGACCTGAGGGCAGAACCATACGGAAGGCGTCAGGGAGGGTGCAGAGATAGGCAAAAGCCAGAGCGCGGGGTACAAGCAGAGTGTGATGGGAAATTACTTTGGACAGATCAAAACAAGTAACGAGGCAGGAAACTTAGCATTTGATTATCAGAAGATTTTGAAAATTCTAAAGGAGTTTCTAGGTTATATTTACTTAATCAAATTGAAATGGTTTTTATTTGGCAGCCAATTTAGTTAAAAAAAAAAAAAGAATGACATAACTCGGTGAGATTTGCTATTCAGTATCAATGACACATTTGGATTCCAATCTGAGAATACTTACCGGGAGAGAAAGAAACGTGTTGAAAAAATCTGCAAAGATTTCATCCTCTAGCAGAATTATGAGATTTGTAGAACGGATTATCTCTATATGAGGAGGGGAAAAAAATTCATGAAGCAAGATTGCATTCACGATGAAGAAAATGAAGGGATTGAGTAAATCATTTCACACCACTCTTCTCGACACAAGGCTGGCCTTTAGGGTCACCTAGCTCAATTTCTTTCCTGCTCTAGGACACCCTGCTGAGAAACTTCCAATCTTGGGGAGCTCACTCCCCCACAAGGTTGTCCACCTCATTTAAGAAGAAGTGGAATGGAGACGTTTACCTGCTATGAATAGCCTTCCTTTACCGCTTCCCATATACAGAAATTCTTTCTATCTCCAAAGCTTGACAGAATACATTTAAAGTCTTTTAACTGAGATAATACTATTAATGTTTACGAAAGCATCGTAGCCTTCATCTGCTGACCTCCAATGTCTCTCTGGTAGACTGTCAGTAATCCTTCCATCCTGGCTTCCATGGCCTCATGTCCATCCCATTCCTCTCTTCCGGGAACCCACACCTAAAGCATTCCAAGTCTTTGCTGGGGCAGAACCTTCTAGAACTATTGCCCACAGGACATGTTATACTGGTATTGCCTGAAATGGGGGCTTCCACATTACAATGCTGATTCCATCACCCTTTATTTGTACAATCACGTTTCAGAAAGCAAGGACAGGAATTAATATTTATTCTAGTCTAGCTTAAACTGGACAGGATGAATGGGCACATTGACGGCAACAATGGGCTCAAACGTAAGAACTGTGCAGGTCTAGGAGGTGCTTCTGTTGTCCACGGTTCGCTATGAGCTGGAACCAACTCGGTGGCACCTGCCACAACAGCTTAACCTTGCTGGTCTGGACCCAACATTATAGCCTAACGAGCTTTTCTGAACCCTTATCTGGTTATACAACATGTTTACTACTTCTCAGAGGTTGATCACCATGTTGTCCAAGTTTAGCTAAAGAGCTAAGTGTTGAATGTCATAAAATCAAACATAAAGGCCACGGGAGACTAGTGCACCCCTCTCCCTAAGTACCCTCTAACCCACTGCCAGTGCTTTTTAGAGTACAGTACTCAATAGTGAATAACAAGCTGTTTTATTCATGACCCAATAATTCTCCATCGGGCTCAAGTTTATAATGAACACTATAAAATGAGAAACCTAAATAATATACATTAGGACCATCGGTCTAGTTAAGGATCTGTCGAGAATAATAAGTGCCTCTCACAATCTCTAGAGTGCAGTCATAATAATATAAAAATAGCTACTCCATCCCTCCATCAGCTTCCTGTTGGCACGGGAATGGTTAATAAACGTGGAAATAGAAACCCAATCAAGCACTATTGTGAGGCACAGAGCTGGTGGCCCTTCTTGGCCTTTGTTAGACAGATATCCTTTTATCCTGTTGTCTAGTGTTGTGCATTTCCACGTGCTTTCCCTGATTCCTTCCTCAGCCTTTGCTCTACTTTATGTGAGAATTCACTGATTTGCTTAGCCTATGACACATGGAGAATTCAACACTCACTATTTTCAAAGCAGATTTCCCACTTTTCCTCCAACCCTAAATGCCCCTAAAGCTAGGGGATCCCTCTGGCAAGGACATCCTGTAAACTCTTTCATGCCAACGTGTTCAATAGTGATTTTTTTCATCTGCTTCACAACCTGCTTTTTCCCCTCATATATTTCCAATCTCCGTTAATGCAAATACCACTCATCCAGTGGTCAAAACCATAAACATGAACATTATTTTTGATTTCCACCTCTCCTCCTACCTTTCCCTCCCCTCATGCAATAGAGGACCATGCTATGTGGTCCTCTGGATCTTGGGAATCAATGTTCTCTCCAGTCCTAAAGTGTCCCGTGTATTTTAAGCCTCTATCCTCTGTTGAAGTTCCTGGGTGGTACAGAGTTAATGTGCATGGCTGCGGTAACCAAAAGGTTGGAGATGCTAGTCTACCTAGAGGCACATCAGAAGAAAGGTCTGGCGATCTACTTCTGAAAAAGTCAGCCGTTGAGGGCTTATGGAGCCCCGAACTACTCTGACACATGGGATTGCCATAATCTGCATCAACTCAACAGCAACTGGTTTTGCTTTCATCCTCTCTCACCTAGACGACTGCATCCGTTTCTGAAATTAGCTCTTCATCGTCATTCTCTTTCCCTTCCAAACATTCTGCACACAGTAGCACCATAATCTCTTGATTCTGCTGTTGTCACAACTCTTTAACGTTTCCTCATTGTCTTCCAAGGTAAAGTCCAAATTCTTTAGTACAGTGAATGAGATTCCACTCAATTTAGCTTTGGGCTTCTCTCCCAGCATCACCTCCTACCGCTCCACCTCTTGCATCTAATTTATCAGCTAAACTAAGACATTGGCATTCTCTGCATATCATATGGTTTTACATCTCAAACCTTTCTTTGTTCCCACGTTCTCATCACTCGAAATGTCACCTTCAACCTCAGTCTGTTTCACAAATCACTAGTCTTTAATTAAGGGCCATGTTACAGCAGCCACATAAGACACAAGTATTGGTTTCTACTGAGCAAAAGAGAGAGTAAAAACTTAAGACTCAAACAAAAGTAGTCTACAGGATATTCTACACAAATGACTACCTCATCTATCCTGAGACCAGAAGAACTAGATAGTGCCCATCTCTCAATTCCAATCTAATTAGAAGGACAAAAATAGAACCTAGCATAATGGGAGCAAAATATGAAACAGAGCCTCAAATTTCTAAAAGTAAACAAGCAAACAAAACCAGGCCAACTGGATTGGTTGAAAACAAGAACTCTCCAAGACTCTTGCTTTGAGATACTCCTCAGACCTTGACGTGAAACTAGCCATTAAGGTCACCTTGTTGCTACTTCACAAAGATAGCAGAAAATAATGACTATCACCCTAAGTAGCATGTGCCTTTTGAAAAATCACCCAAAGGAGACCAAACATTACTTTAAAATAAAGATGAGGATGTAAGGGGGCAGGAAATCTCAATGAATGGAAAGGGAACAGAGGGAAAATAATGAGAATGTCCACATATTTTGAAGACTGCAATCAATGTCACTGAAAAATTTGTGTAGAAATTATGAATGGGAACCTATACTTCTGTGTAAGCCTTCATAATAAAATATTATTAAAAAGTAATAAAGAACTAATTTTTATGTAATCTTGGTGTGCTATCCCACACTGGCAGAATTGGTCTACCATCATGAAAACTTCCATTATTATAATCATATTGTCCTTATTGACATATCTGCTTTAGATGTATCTCCCTAGACTGAGCTGTATAAGATCGATTCTCTTTTCTCATTTTCTTTACCTGGGCACTACCAGTGTTTATACAATGCCTATGTTCTGTCGATGCTGAGTGGATTATTCTTTCAATAAATGATTATCCTTTCAAAAGATGACCTCCCCCCACCCCCAAGTCATATACCCTAGTATGGATTTGTTGAATGAGCATTTATGTTTTTGACCATCTCAATGCAAGCAATCAGGTAGAATTTCCCAATTGATTCTGTTTCCCATACCCATACACACTGTCCCTGACATGGAGCTTGTCTATGGAAGGCTTATTGGCAAGACCGTCTTAGTGTGGTTTGGAAACAAGACCTACCTCATCCTTCCCTTTTTTATCCTACCACTTCTTAACACTTGTTTTCTCTTCTCAGCTATTCTGCCGTCGCATTTTCTAATCATCTGGGAAGAATTTTCCCACTCACTTCAAGTATTGATAACAATATTCACTTGGGAGCAAAAGAAAACATTAGATAATCCCAAACTCCATGCTGATCTCTCTCTGGAAAGGAGCTAGGTATATGTTGGCCCTTCTGGCCTAATCTGTCCTATCAACGGAAGTGTTCCTCCCCCCTCCCCACACACAAAATATCCGGCAGCAGAAGGACGGAGGAGGGGCCAGAACAAGAGAAGGAAAACGAAAGGCGTAAGTAACTTAAAGCCACATCAGACATTCCCGTCTGGCTGGGGCTGTTAACGGTGGGAAAGATGAGTGGCTTGCCTTATTTCAGGGGCCCGGACCTTGAAGACACTAACGACTCTGGCAAAGCCTTACCTGCGTGACTCATGTTGCCAAGCTTTTCCTGCCCCTCTGATTGGTCAGGAGCAGAGACATTGTCAGTCAACAGAACCCTGCACACTGGATCACAGAGACCCCCTCCTCCATCCTCGGGCTCCGCGTTCCACCCGGCAGGTGAACGCCTCCATCCGAAGGCAAGTACCTGCGCTACCGGATGCCCTTGAATGTACCAGATCTTCCCGTACGTGGGTCTCCGGTCCAGACAACCTGTTTTGTGGGCACTGAGAGTTTCTTCATCGCGTTGTCTGCGCACCTGAGCTTCCGTTCTCAGTCTCTGGGGTGCTGTAACCGGGGGGCATCCGTCAGCAGGGAGGTGGGCTTCTTGTTGATTTCGAATGTGGCTCTTGGGTCTCACTCATCCTTCTGAAAGCTTAGAAAGTGCTCAACAAACATCTTATGACTTGATTTGTCGCTCAAATAAGCAGGAATTTCAACCTAAACAAGTTTTGTTTCCTTTCCCCGTTCCTGTTACCGAGATCGTTTCGCTCTCGTTGCTTGTGGGATGCTTCACTTCTTCTTCTTCTTCATCTTTTTTCATCCTTTTATTGGGGGCTCATACAACTCTTATCACAATCCATCCATCCATCCGTCCGTCCGTCCATCCATCCATCCACTGTGTCAAACACATTTGTACATTTGTTGCCCTCATCATTCTCAAAACATTTGCTTTCTACTTGAGCCCCTGGCATCAGCTCCTCATTTTCCCCCCTCCCTCCCGCTCTCCCCTCCCTAATGAACCCTTGATAATTTATAAATTATCATTTTGTCGTGTTTACACTGTCCAACGTCTTCCTTCACCCACTTTCTGTTGTCCATCCCCCAGGGAGGAGGTTATATGTAAATTCTTGTCATCTGTTTCCCCTTTCTACCCCACCTTCTCTCCACCCTCCCAGTATCACCACTCTCACCACTGGTCCTGAAGGGATCATCAGTCCTGGGGATTCCCTGTCAGACCTGTCTTCTAAGGAGCCTCTGGGTGGATTTGAGCAGCCAACCTCAATAGCCCAGTGCTTAACAGGTCTCCCAATCAAGGAATCCTGGCTTTAAGGAAGAGTAGAATGCACTCTCGCTGAATGTCATCCATGAGGCAGAAGTTAGATTGGGTGTATTGTGTTTTGTTTGTATTCAATCTTATAGCCCTCAAAAATCAAGATTATTGCCAATGAAAAGATAGTAAGTGATAACACTGAGATTTAATCCTGACCGGTTTAATAAAAGCCTAAGTGAAATATGCCAATGTTTCCAATATGTCAATATGTCAAACCCCATCCGAAGGAAGTATTTTAACATTGAAAAAAAAAAGAAGAAGAAAGAAATGTATTGTAAAAAAGAAAAACTCCTTGGTCTGAAGCCTCTGCATTAGGAAAAATTAGTATATGTACTTAAAACTGCTCTAAAAATAAAATCAGAAATACATCTCAATGAATAAGAGTAAACAAAGATCTTCCTCTTGGACTTCCTCACATGCTTAACTTCTCTAAAACCCCACTGCTTTTTGTGTGTATTTAGATTCTAGACTAGACGTCCTTTCCTACAGCTGCTGTAAAGAGAAAAATTACCCATTTCGAGCTATTGGGAGAAATGGTAGCACACATATATAAGAATTTTACCAGGGATTGAAAAAAAAAAAAGCCTTCAGATTTTTTAAATGAATCATGGCATGTTCAAAAACTAAAGATTTTCCTGGGCTAGTTCTGACCACAAATATTCTATTTCCTGGTCATTTTCCACTCGTCAAGAGCAACTGCTCTGGAAAATATCGAGGTGAGGCGGAAATATGGGAAAGAAGTTATATTTGTCTTTCATTTCATTTTTCTTAACATGGTATAGTGTTTTGCAGCTGTATATTAGATGTTAACAGGACCAGCTCAGAGAGAAGAGGGGAAAAGCTATTGAATCTACATTTTGTCCTAGAAATGAACAATCAATCACAAGTGGCAAAAAAATAAACAAAAATATTGTCAAGGATATTTCCAGCCCATCAAGATCTAAAACCTGCGTGCACATATTGGAAACTCGACATGAATATGCTCATGTATGCCAATTTATAATTAGACATAAGTATTCAAGAGTATTTTAATAAAGTTTATTTTGTTGTTCTTTCTTTTTTGCTTTCTTGCCCTAAAATGATTAGAAGATTAAACTCTTCTCCACATCAAGGACTGATAAATCATGTTAGCTGAATCCAAGCTTTTGGTCTGATTTACCCAAATTAGATTTGGATCTCCTTCTTTGCAGTGTCTGAAGATACTGTAATAAGTCCAAGAAAAGAACTTCTGGCTGCTTGGGCTAGGTTGCTGTTAGGTCCCACCGAGTCAATTATGCCTCATGACAGCATAGCCTTTCTACTCGTATACAGATTTACAGTCTGGAGACCACCAGGACAGTTCTACTGTGTCCTATAGGGTTGCTATGAGTCAGAATTGATGGTCATGATTTTTTTTTAATATTGAAAGAAAATAAAAAACACCAGGATTGAAAAGTCTTCAACCAGAATAACATGTTTAAATAACAGGACCTTGGTTAAAGAGCCATAGAAATAGGAGCCCTGGTGGCATCGTGATTATTCTTTGGGTTGGTAACCACAAGGTCAGCAGTTCAGAACCCCCAGTTAGTCTGCAAGAGAAAGATGAGGCTCTCTACTCCCATAAATATTCATGGTCGGAGAAACCCGCTTGGGCACTTCTACCCTGCCCTATGAGTCAGAAGGAACTCGATGGCAGTGCGTTTGGATTTTTCCTTTCATGGGAAGATAATGAGTTATAAGAAGTAGACCCTTATAACTAGTGCTTGGTTAAGTGCTGACAGGATTATTATTTATTGTTCTTGCTATTACTTCAAGCTTTATGGATGTGACCGGAGGACGCTATCTCAACAGTTTTCAGGTTGCTCTTGGAGAGCCTCTGTTGGTCACATATTTTTTGACTTACAACAAGTACTAGAGCGCTAAGTTTGGACAGAGAAGCTTTAACTGGTTGAAGACTATCCGTTTACTACTCTTAGTTGGGTGGGTAACTTAAAATACACATACATGCCAAAATCAAGTTACCATTTTAGCTTTCATTCATACAAATATGTATTTTAAAATCTATACTATTTCAAAAAAATCTATACTATTTCATATACCCTTTTTCTTTTATAAAACAAGTGCTTCCAATTTGATTTAATGTTTCATTCTGATTATTAAATTTACAAGGGTTTTTTAAAAAGTCCTTAAAGGGAGTTTTCTTAGATTCATAAGCCTGCCTTCTTCGGTGTTTGAGATATTTAAAAGAATCAGCACTTTAAGCCTCATAATTTGAAAAGTTAAAAAGAAATCTTACTAAGTTAATCATTGAAATGATAGGAGCATCTGATTTATCGAAATGGATGATTCCATTGGAAAACAGTAAAGAAGTAGAAGCAACTTTGATATAAAATTACTGAACATATCCATTAGTTTATATGGCCATTTTACAAGTCTGCTAACGAGTTTATTCGATGTATGCCTGAACCAGTCTCCATGGTGGATCTTCTGTCTCTCTCAGCTCATCTCCTACAGCGTGTGTAGCGCAAAGATGTGACATCATGCCTCTGGCACTAGGCTTTTCAACTTTGGGGACCCAGAGAAGTATCGAGAAAGAAGGTCGGAAAAGGTCCTGGCACTTGAGAGGCAGGTGCCTAAGGCCTGAAGTTAATACCAACACTAACGATGCAGAAAAACTTCTGAACCAGACTACCAAAGCATACGGCAAAAAAGGAAGCATTTGGTAACATCCAATTCTGGATTATTCTCAAGAACACCATGGGGCAAATATTCAATGGCAGAATGGGGGAAGATATTTGCAGCGTTTCAAGTGAATGAGAAACCAATTAAGTTAAAAAGGAACAAAGAAAAAGGACAGCAACCTTGGAGGATAAATAGCAAAGAACTTAAAATCCTGGCAACATGTGAGAAAATGCTAGCAGTTATTGCTAATTGATCAGCTAAATGTAAAATAAAATGACAGGGCCATTACACAAAACAAATGTATTCTTTAATACTTTTAATATTGACTACGAAGCAAGCAATTGCAATCTTTTTCTTTTCTTGGCACAACAGCCACCCTCATCTAGTAAAAGTCCATTAATCGTCTGCCTTCTAATTGAGAAGTGAGTCACCCAACCCTTCATAATGTGTTTTAGCCACCTCTCGGGGACACACGTGTGCAAGCTCTCTTTGGCGCCTCCTGGCCGTAAAATCCCGCCACTGCAACTGCAGGACCGATGTGTGGTTGCAACACATCAACGCCCAAGAAGAGGTTAGATCTTGGAAGAACTGCGCTGCATTCTTCTGTTCACGAAACCTCAGCTTTATTCTTCAACCCCCCATCAGAATTAAACAGGCATTTCACCGGCATTGAACCCTCATTCGCTAATCAGTGATTGCACGTGGCTGCAATAATGCGCTCAAACATAACAGCTGAGGCTAGAACAGGTCCGTGCAAGTTCATTCTGTTAGGGAAGGTGGCTGTGAGCGGGAACTGCAACCAACAGCCTGCTGTGATGAGCTCAGGGGTAATGCAGACGGTTAAAGGCGGCGGGGCGGCTAACTTGAACTCACCCAGAGCCGAGTGTCACCGCCACGTACAGGAATTGACTCATCAGCAAATAGTTTAGTTCGGCTTTGTAATGCTATGGCCTAACGCGGACATTTCAGTGAAATTTACATAAAGTTGAGCTCTCTAAATTACGAATCTTATATTTTTAGGTACACACATTAGATATCTACAGTACATCTATAGGGGAATCAACTGCATAAACTGAATTCTGTGTGCATGTCTACATAAGTAAGCTAACAGAAAGAAAGAGAACTGCATTATGTATACTGGATGCTTGGGTAAAGATTGTTACCTAAAAAAAAAAAAAAAAAAGATTGTTACCTTAGACATGTTTCTTGCTCTCCTCTCCAACCCTCCTCCAACTCTTTCAAATTGGTGGCTCAAACCAAATGGCACACAAGTGCCCTTT